CACCTCCAAGACCAATCGTCTGGGTGGGTGTGAACTTAGCTGTATTGCAAGTTGGCCAAATGTTTGTAAGCCGCTTAAGCTCTCCTTGTCAATCCAACACAGCCATCCATCAATCATTCCGCCAATTCCTAATTAGCATGCAATTCATGGGAACAATTGAAAAGTGTTGGTCAAATTTTAAATGTCATGCTCTCGCACTTGTTTTCGTTTCGCCGAATGGGGATTATTTAGACATTATATATACTCGTAGACTTGTGCCCAAGGGCCTTCAAGTCCCCAAAACGTGAGTCGGATTTCAGAGTGCGAAACCTAAGGTCGCTGGTTGAATGTTTGTTTTGCTAATGCCAAATTAACATTAATTTTGCGTATGTAAAAATCATTTTTATTTCCGATAAAAGCTGAACTTTCCTTTTAGCGGGCCTGTGTGAACAGGAGAACAAGTTCTCGTTCACCTGCCACGCCAAAAAAAAGCCATTATCATCGAAGAAAACCTGATTTCAGACGCGTGTTTCCTGTTCACAAGGCCTAAAACAAGTTTCTTCTGCCGGGCATCGCATAACTCAAAGGCGGCAGGAAACATTCCTTTCCTTTTTGGCCAACACACTCTCCAAAAATAATAATTAAAAACTCTTGTTGGTGATTTATCTGAAGAAGAAACCAATCAAACCGCATTCCAATCAAGTAAATCGACGATAAGAAAGAACATTTTTGGGGGATAGCTAAGAAGTTTCAATTTTCTTGGCAACGCCAAAAACCAGCCAAGCCCTTATTTTATTGATGTTGCCATGATATATGTTTGTGAGTGTATGTGTGTAGGGGAAATATAAATTTTCGTGACGAAAGCACAAAAATTGAGTTTGACTTTCATCAAATCACGTGACATGCCCTGAATATGGAACACTGAAATTTATTTGGCCACATCAGCTCCCAATCTATGCAAATAAGTAGAGCAAATGCGAAATACATTTTTGAAGGCCTTCCCATTTTCCACACCCCAAACCATAGACAAGATTTATGCGTTTTTCATATTGACAACGGTTTAACAATAGACTACCCATCAGTCGATGAATATTTGCTTTTGCTGCCATGGCAACTGTCATTTATTACACTTTGACTTTGCCAGTAAAAAAAGAAAGTAAAAAAAATCCTTATCAAAAACTATCCTGTAATAAAAAACTGGCTTAATTAAAAAAGAAGGGAAACAGATCATCCTGCTTTAAAGGAGATTTACTTCACAACTTTTCATCTGTTTCAGAAAGTAAATAATGTTAATATTGCCTTCTTTGACTAACTTTTTTACTGTCAATATTTCCCGGTCATTCTGAAGTTTTTATTGGCCAAAAACTTCTGTAATAATAAAAATTAAAAGATACATTGAAAAATAATAAAAATATCTTCAGGGAAAGCTAATTTCCTATGAAAATAATTTTCGCTTTCTATGCTGTAATTTCAAGTGATTTAAATTAAGCTCAAAATTACCAGCCAACGCATTTTGACCATAATCTGAACAATTATGGTATAGGCCAAACCTAATGATAGTCGCCGGCCTAAGCAATGTGGTTCAATTTCGAAAGAAAAATCGTGCTGCAGCGGCAAATCTCGGCTTTAATTAAGGTTCCACTCGAACAGCAATGTTGGGACAACGCCTTTACACAGAAATGTGCATAGAAGCGATCATAGCTATAGATATGCGGTATATAAGGCCCATTCAAGTGGACGACTTTCGCCTTGTTCATGCAATTTGTATAAACTCTAAATGATTATTGCCAATAAATTTGCCACACAAAAAAAAAAATAAAATGTACAGAAAATCCAAGAAACTGGTTAGGGTAGAAAGCCAGAAAAAAACCAGGGACACCGCCCAAACTGACCAACACTTATGGACCCAGTATCTGCGGATGATATGTAACCCAAGTGGCAGACGACAGACGTAAACAGGTAAAAGTGATTTGTCTCTAGATGCCTAAGCTAATATATATATATACATGCATATATCTAAAGATATATCCACATGAATAATCCAATCGTGTTTCGGGGCATGTTGCGTGAATTGAGCACCGGCTTCCGACAGCTTGTCATGCAAATGAGCTGGTCGATCCTTTTGGGGGAAAACAAACATGGAAAGCAAACATGGCACATGGAGAAAACATATAGCCACCATTGGTCATCAATATTTTATATATCAGCTTGTCAGTTAAAGATATTTTAACTGTTTTTTGAAAATGATTATGGAAGTGCTTATGAATATGAAAAATGACTTAAAAATCTTCAAGGAAAAATATATTAAATAAAATATTAAAATTCAAAGACATTTTTCTCAGTCTAACATACAAACACTGGCCACTTTCTCATTGAGGCCAGCAATTCTCCAACGTTGACACCTTAACCTTATAGCAAAACAAAATAAACAAATTAGTTGTAATGAGATGGTGGTGGCCACTAGGGCTCAAAAGTAAGTGTAGACATCATCAGCATTCGGCCAGCTTTTCCACACTTTTCACTTTCACGCGACGGCGAAAATCTTCGACCCACTTGTATTCTTGATTACCGAGGCCTGCTTTCATTTTCATTGAGCAAAAAGCGAAACAGAAAAATAGTGGAAGTGGATCTGGTGACAGATACACCTGGCCAGTACAGGTTGCTTAACCCAATTTTGCGATATCTGTTCGTTGCTGCTTTTGTGGGCTTAGCCAGCTACGCAACTGTAGTTTTTGCGAAAAAAAAAAACTACAGGCCGATTGCATTGAGGCGGCCTAAACGCATTTTTGCGGCAAGCTTTACAAAAGTCCAACAAAAAACCAGACTTTAACTAAACTAAACCAAAGCAATGCTGTTGTATGGATTGCACCTGTCGGCGGGTAGCTGGAAAATGAATGTTGAATTGCATTTCGAATTAAACAAAAAAAAAAAAATGGGAAGTTGGCAGAGAATTGCACACCCTTTAAAGCCGTACATAATTGGGTTAATATACCTTAATTATAGGTAAAATGGGACATAAAAGACAAATCTATGGGATCTTTATTAAGCAATATAAAGATATATCTACTCTTTAGTTATTGTCTGTTTAAAATAAATCCAACACTTATAGCCAAAACAATAAAATATATTTATATTGTTATTTATAGCTTTTTTTAAAATTTATAACAAAACTTTCTATCCCGCGAAACCACCCAGAAAGGAGTTTAAAATAGAGAAATGCTTGTGGCCTCTGCCCAGACACGCATCGTATAATTCAATTTTAGGCCTGTCTGACTGCCATATTAAGCTTGAATAAATTGGTTTTCGCATAAAAACAGACACAAATTTATACAATGTTTGTATTTGCTAAATCGTTTGGCTTTTGTTTATAATTTTAAGCAAACACAAATTCTGAATAAACGCTGTGTTTAAATAATAACCCTTCTATGATTACAACGCCGTTGGCTAAAAGCGACCACCCAAAATAAATACATTGGAGCTCCATAAATCAAAGATTAAACGCATAATTAATCTTGCTCATTCCCATGAGCGTGAAATTTAATAAATGATGAGTCAAATAAAAAGCTCGTAAAGCGTAAAATAAATAAATTAAACGGCAGAGAATTAAACAAAAGGAAGTTCAGTGCAATTCGGCTGGCGATGATGATGTCATGCAATGGCATAGAGAAAGAGGAAAATCAAAAAAGCCTTAAATACTTAGATAAACAAAAATAGCACAGGCACGAAAAACTTAACTATGCAACCAAACTAACATCATCATGAGCATTATAATTATTTTTAATTCTTATATCAATGCAACGTTTTGTTTCCCACCATCAAGTGGCAAACTTGTCCAGCTGGAGGTCACATGTGTATGCCTTTCGGATGCACGATCAAGTTCCAAAGAACTGAACAGCAATCCCCCTTAGATTCTTCTCCTCAACTCAACTCAACTCATTTACAGTTATTTGCAAATTATTATTGTCTAGCTATAGATAGATGTGAGTAAGTATCTCTCGGATACAGTTGGATAACTAGAGAGAACGACCGTATCTTCCATCTTTCGGTTGTATAAGCAACTTAGGATTGACACGCCAATGAGATTGCATAAGGTGATTTTCCGTAATATACCTGAATTACGAGAGAACCGAGAATTGCTTGTGCAATCAATGGAAAGTAATGCAAAAAAATATAAAAAATATTGACAGGGAATAAACAGTATATAGAGTGCAATGAAGGTGACACCACATGGAAATTGAATGGCAATCAGCTTAATGAGCTTTCAGTTATCTCAAAACTCACTGAGCATTATATTGGAAGTGAAATAAAAGTAGCAATTATTCAATATTTATTTATTTCAATTCAAATTGCTGCCATAATACATCTTATTTTATTGGTGAAGTTATCAAAAGATATAAAATGTACACATGTTCTTTCTAGAACCAAAAACATTTGATTTTCTACTACAAATACATTGTTTTTGTTCGCCATTCTATTTCCTTTCAACTTTTTCACACAATTTTCATATCATACCACTAGGCCTTCCATAAATCAGTCTGCCCCATTCCTAATTTGAAAAATATCTGCTACTCAATATGCAATTTTAAAAATTCTGAGAATGTGAATCTAACCAGCCAGGTAGAAGCCAAAATCCAAAAGTGTTTAGCAACAAAAACCGACGACGAAATGGCCAAAACAAAGAGCTACGAAAACTTTAAAGCATCGTAAATTATTTCTGAGAATTAAACTACAATTAGAACTCCCACAGAGCGGGATGGGGCTATTAACAGAGATACAGCGAGAGTGAGAGGGTTTCAAACTCATTTGAGGATTTTAACGAGTTTCCAACTCGTTTGCCGGCTAATTATTATTAGAGCCGTAAACGGAATTTAAGATCATGTGACTTGAAATCGCAACGATAATGAAAATGAGTCGCACATAAAATTACGCAATAAAACTTCAGCTTTCAAGTTTAAGTGTCTCAAAGCCGGAATTGGGTTAAGCACAACATGTCAAATGATTTTTTGATTTGGGGAACTTACGTTTCCGGTCGCTGAAAGAGTCCAAAGAATAGGAACTGCAAAGAGAAGAGCAAACGAATACAAATATTAATCAAAATTTGCTTGGCGAATTTCTTAAGAATAGACATAAAGATACTCGTATAAAAAACTGCGACTGAACTGAACAAATTTATCTCAGAGAAATTACGCATTGTGTGAGGAAATAAAGCGGAAGCTTAGTATATTTTCCAGGCCCACCAACTCAAATCAAATGACGGCATTCTCTAGACAAGTTCAAGGTGAATCCATCTGGCTCGCTCTCTTTTTTTAAACTTATTCCAATTCAATTAAATTCATGGAAAATTTAAGAGTTCACTGGGAGGCAAAATTGAATCGTTTGCGCTTCGGTGGGCTGACCTACCGCAGTCGAAACCCCCCTCCGTCGCATTGCAATCTTCTCTGGGTATTAAATTTCCAACTCATTAAAATTTTGCACACTGTCTGGTTGAAGTGGCAGGGCGGACAGGAGGACCGACTACATATATACAGGTTAAGGGTTGCCCGGGACTCTATATCCATGGCCTTTCCCCCATTTTGCGCTTTTCTCGGGTGGAAGGAGAACAACAACGAGATGAAGGCTTGTCATTTATAAATGAAGTGCATAAAAATGCCTTCAACTGATGTGAGAAACGTGAAGTCCCGACCAGTTTATAAAGAGCAATGCTCCACAGCCACAAATAATTCATGTCTGAGCGCTTAATCAGAACCTTTTGACTTATCAATTAGGAATTCTAGAGTGATTCACTTGCCGCATTAATTGATATCAATTGTTCGGATTCCGGAAGGTCGCTCGGCCGGCAACGGAAATGGGAATTATTTACAAATCTTATCTTATCCGCTGACAATCTGCGTCACATATTGCTGTGTATATATTGTAAATTTACTAAGCCAAAAATATCGAAAGCTTGCGTCAGTTTTTTGGTCAACCCACGCCGCGTCGCGTAAACAATAAACAATGAATCGAATTTGGAGAAAAACAAAACCCAAATTGCGCCAAATTGAGCGAGAGAGATACTCACTCGAAAACCTCATAATTGGAGGGTTCCTACAAAAGGTCAGCCAAGCAATTGGCGAGCCACTCGAACAAAACAGCCAAAACAAGCGACGGAACAATAACAAACTGTTGGAAAAATAAAAACAAAAACCTAATGACAAAGCGAAGCAATAAAAATTAGAAGTTTGTGGCAAGATTAAACGTTTTCTCAAGTGCCCTAGGGAAAAAAGGGTATTATAAAAATTTACAGGAAGTTTGCAATGAGGAAGGAAATATGGCCGGATATTATTTATAACTTAGTTAGCCAACTAAAGCCGGGGAAGTGAGGCTAATTTAATTCTAATTTGAGCAAAAAATATTTGTAAGCTAAGTTATTTAATCATAATTATATTGGTATTTATATTGAAAATTGGAACATTCTAAAAATAAATTAAATAATTTAAACTTAATTATGTCTTATCATAATGAAAATGAATTCCTTTTTTCTTTTTTATTTATAATTATCTCCTTAGTGTTTTAATAAGTTAATACTAAGAAACAATTTTTAAAGATATTAATTATTAGAGTATTGCTAGCTCCTAAGAACTCTTGAAGTTCCGTTTCCATTTTCTTCAACTAGTTTTTGTCAGGTTTTCAAAGCATTTTACTCTCTTTTTTTAACCAAGACGACGACAAGCCCTTTTTTTTGCTGTTACGCGTTGTTTGGCTTGTTCTTCCAGGGCGTTTATACTGGGTGGGAAACATTTAACTTGGCTAAAAGCGGCATTAGTGCGATGTATGGGGCGTGTTCCGCCCGAAGGGAAGGCAGCCAATTAATTTTTTAATGGCTTAGGCGAAATGACTGACTTTGGGTTATTACGAAAAAAGAAAAGCGACAAAAGAGCGGCGAAAAAGTTTTTCCTTTTGCCAGTTGGAAATTGTCAATTAGTAAAGTGCCTGCCAAGAATTGGCAATTTTTAAACTCCTTCGGGCCACGCCCTTGTTTTTGTCCTAAAAAACATTTTCGGGGTCTATAATCTAAGTGACTGGGACTTGCATTTTTATGAAGTTTAATCTAATTTCTATTTTACGATCTGGGCATTTTTTATGGTCGTTTGCCTAACGACCTGAGCACTGAAACAAGTTAACCGCAAAAAGATTTTGCCTTTGGGTTTGGTTGGAGGATTTTTCTTTTTGTTTTTCTTATTTTTTTCTTTTAGATTGTTGTGGTACATTTTTTTATTTATTTAAGAGCGGTGGACCAGGGCCCTGGACCACAGCAATTTGTTTTGATTGAATGAAATATCAAAAACGTGACCTGGCCGTGCACTTTGAGCAATCTAGCAAAACCGAAAAGAAACAAATATATAATTCAGGCAATAATTTAGTGAAAGAGTGAGGTATAAGGCAAGAAAAAGAGATGGATGAAGAGCAACGTTCACCGGCTAAATGAAATGTATGCAAATTGAGCGTGAACAACCGCTTTAACCCGCAAGCACGTGCGAGTGATTGAACTGATAGAAAGAGAGAGGTGTATAATGTCAGAGAGAAAGAAGGATATAATGCAAGAAGAAAGAGAGGGGGATGCAGTGGCAGAAAGAGATAATTCTATCTATCTGTGCGAGACTGATGCTGATTGTCCGATAAGTGTTCAATGATTAGTAATCTCAATATGTTTCACCAGCATCTCAATAACTCTCTTCTAGCCACCTTACTCTACATATATATATCTCCGATTCTCTGTCCCTTTTGCTCTTAATCGTGTTCAAGTGGCCAGTTAATCCTGGCAGCTTCCTGTGCCAAGGAGTTAAGGAGCATGTGTGCGTAAGAGCGTTTTTAGTAGCTGGTTTGAATACTCCATCATATTCATGACTTTTACATGCATTGCACTTCCGTGAGTGCTTCTTGTTTGTAACGAGGGTCGTTAAAGGAGTTGCAATGAAGAGAGAGAGTTGATTGGTCAAAGAAAGAGGAGAATAACTTTAGAGAAATTTAACTTAACTATTATACTGCAATCAATTTTAGTACAATGCAAGTAAATGGTTTCGAATGTTATACATTCTCCTTTAAAGTTATTGCCGAAGGGTACAAGCATAATAATTATTTCAAGCTTAATTTTAAATTCCCATTCCTACTAATCTATCTCTTAAATCTCCATCTCAACCCAACCACTCGAATCTTAATTTATCTTACCATGACATCAGTGCTCAACAAATCCTCGTGTTTATCGACAATAATCTACATCCTTTGGCTGTCCGCAGGTTATGCCAACACTTGGCGAAATTTATTCATCTTCAGCGATGATAACTTCATCGAACCTCCCACGCTGCTTGCTGTTGCCCTCGCTCTTTTTCCTAAGCTCTTTTGGAATGCTTTTACCAACGCCATAACTTTGCCCTAACACCCGCTACGGCGACCACCTCCACTCCATGCCGCAACCAGCCTCCCCTTTAGGTCTGACCCATCTGTGTTGGCCACGTTGTTTGGGTTCTCCCCACGATTTTTTCATGGTTTTTTTGATGCACTGAACAAATATTTTTAATAAACCAATCAATTTTAACTTGAACTTAAAATGAATAAATATGTATTTACAATTTTTTAAAGATCATAATGTAGACACCAGAATATTACTTATTTTTCAAAAGACTTCATTTTTGCGAAATTATTTCGTTCTATGTAAATCTCTTGCGGGTCTCAGCTGCGGTCACACACAACAGCAAGCGAAATCTTTACCGCTGGCACAATTGGCAGGCAGTTGGAAGTCCGGGAGCGGTTCCAACGGGGGAGCTAGAGGGAAATGGCGGTTTTGGGGCTTGGAGGACCGGAGAACTGGAGAACCGAAGACCCGGAGGCTGGGGGGCAGTTGGAGGAGGCCACTTGGTCGCGACCACAGAAGTGACTTAACTCGTTTTAAGCCTTCTCATATGCTTGGCTTGGGTATGTTTTTTTTTTGTTATATCCACCAGAGTTGCCTGCATCTATTTCATTTCAAACTCCACTAGACATGCCACAACGATGACACTTGACTGAATATTTATGGCCACAAATGGAGCGAAAATAAAAATCGCCAAGTCACGGGGCCAGAGCGGGAGATACGAAAAAAAAATGTAACAGTTGAGGAGAAAAAAAATGGACACACATGGCGATGATTTTTAGATGCGGATGGGATGCTGCTCCATGTCCGTGGAGGCCATGCCCTTTTTTGGAGCGGGCTGGAACCGTTAGTCTAACAGACTAAAGCGGCTACTAAAGTCTTATAAGACCATGTCTGCATCCGACTCTAAATCGGAGTTTAAGTAAGAGTTTCCAATCTCGATTCTTACACAGAAAATAATAATCAAGTAAAATTAATGTCTTGTTAAGAAAGAGATCCTAAATTTATTCATAATTTAAGAACAAAACTTTCTAGCTGACCTTAAAAGCTATTCATTTCCTGTTTTTGAATGCCAAATATTGACTTGAAAAGGGGTTTCTTTCTGTGCCTAAGCTTGTCCCGTTTATTGGTTCCTTTCAAGAGCTGCCTTTCGGCGATCTCTATCTTTATCTCCACTTATGTGTGGGCACATGAATGTCTGCTCTCGTTGCCAGTTTCAAATATTTGCGCTTATTTATGTGGCTTTTGTTTTATCAGCTTGTTTATTCAATGATTATAGGTTTTTTCTTGGTTTTTTTTGTCGAGCTGAGTCGACAAAAGCTGCTTCGACTACCGTGTTTGGTTAGGTTTTTCGGGTTGCCAGGAGAGCAGCGAGTACTTGGGCCTTAAGCCTATCTGTATGACCGCCATGTACTCGCCGGCAAATATGTAATGAAGCATAAGCAATTATGATAATGTCGTTTGAGTTTGTGTTCCGCTTTCGTCGCTGCTTCGCTGCTTATCAGCAGTTGTTGGGTGGTGGCTGGGAGTTGGGCGGTGGTAGACACTAACAGCCTCGAAAATGTTGACAGAAATGTAAAAACAAGAAAACGCGAGAGGAATGGAATGCTGGCTGATTAAAGCCGAAAAGCAAATACGCTGTCTGTGACCCCAAGAAAGGTCAGTTGAGG